GAGTGTGTTAGACAAGTTTCAAGATCTGGAGGGAGGGGAACACTCATGAATAGGGGGAAGGGAGCGAAATATCAGTTGAGGACAGCCTTCCCTCTTAACTGCATCCTTTAAATTGCTGGTTCTGATACTAATTCTAAGGATTCTGTACAATCTGACAGCTATGTTAGGGACCCCTAGTAAGTCAAAACAAACAGGGCAGGCAGTTCACAAAACACCTAACTTTTTAAATACTATTATGAAAAATATGGAAGGTGGGGGAGAAAAGTGGAGAACAACCAGTAATACTAGTCAGAGGATCAAACTGTTCACTTTGGCAAGATTAAAGTACTTTTCCTTCTTAAACTAGGGATCTGAGATCCTAGAAACATGCACCTAATGCTATTTTTTACTGACAATTACAATTCCTATTTTGGAAGAGAAAAATAATACTTCTCAACACCTAACAAAAGAAACATTCAGAAAAAGTTAAAGATTTAAACTTTTTCAAATAAGTTGTTTCCACCTAATATGATTCTACCAATTTAAACATCAGCAAAATTCCAGCAATAAACCTTCCAAAGCAATTGGCTATAGTGTACTCAATATGCAGATGTTGAAGTGAATGGTTAGAACCAGGGGAGAGCCAACAGATGCATCAACTACTCATGCAACATTACAGAAAGTGGCAAATACACAGTTTTGCCTTCAGTATTAGGTTAGTCACGTTCTGGGAAGACAGAAATGGGAAGAGGGAGTGGAAGGACCAAAACACCAAAAAGTCCAGGTTTAAACATGGTACTTGGTAAGTGTAGTTGCAGGTTAGGAGCTAAAATATGCAATTAAGTACTTAAGTGCTTTAAAATGCTAACCTATGTCCTTCTGGCATTTACCCGTGGGGCCACTTTGGAATCTAACATAAACAGAGAAACCAAGTTGCAACCAAGGAACCAACCATGCACATTCAAGACATAAAGATTAATAAATGTCCAATCCAAAGATCTGTCAATTCCAAAGCCAGAAAAAGCCAAAAATTTTTAAATACCTAACATGTTCTATAGAGGGCAAATAAAAAGAATATACCCCACACTGAGAACTGAAAAGGAAAAAGATCACCATAGTATTGCTAGTTCAAATATACAGAGTTCTACTAGACAGTATTACAGAAATGACTAATAGGAAGGACCATAGGGAAAAAATAACAAAGCATAGTAGTAGTAGTAGTAGCATCACAAAGCTTATAGTGCAGATGCTAAGAGTCAAACTATAAGGATAATTGGTCCTGCTCAGTCCACACTGCCATTCCTTTTCCACACATAACTGCTAAAAGCAGATTCTACCACGTCTTTGATGAGTGGGTCAAAGTGTGGAAGAGTATCCGAAGAGTCAGGTTATTATACCACAAACCCTCGCAAGAGCAGCCTTTGATCCCAATTAAGTTGTTGACACAAAATAATTCTCAACTTAACCAATTATAAAAGGAAAACAAACTAGACCTAAGAGACCTGTGGTACTTTTCTTTAATAATGCACAGCAATACCCACAGCACAGGGCAACCCATAACTTGGAGGAATGATGACCAGACCTCCCCCTAGAAGACTGGTCCTATGTAAGGGAAAAAGGGAAATAAACACCAAAGATGGCAGTGATGACTCTTAACAAGAGAAGTGCACAGAAAAAGCAGCAGTCACCGCCCTGTTTGGACTAAAAAGGTTGGAATATAGGTTTAAAACGTATCAAGGAGTTGTGGGAATATCCCATGATTTGGAAGTAGTTACAACTAAAGGAAAAAGACTTTTTGATACTGGGGACCCAAAGTGGGTGGGTGGAGGGTTAACAACTCACCATGGTCACCACCCCCTTGAGTGCCAATCCTGCCACAGGAGCTGAGATCTCAAACCAAGAAAAGATAGTACCTTCCAAATAAAGTGACAATCCACAGCAACACTCATGCTGTCCTCCAGGCATGCTAATAATTCATCTAGTCGAGACTCCAAGATAACACCCAGCTAAGTGCTCTATTCACCAGGGATATTAAAAGTCCAACCCCCAACTATTGAAAAGGCACTGTTATTGTCCCCAAAATCCCAATACCTCCTCAAAACTCCTGAAATTAGCCTTTTAGAGTGGCCTCATCCTCAAAACAGAACCTCTTGGTACTAGTATAGAAAAGCAGCAAGAGCTGTAGCCTTTATGGACCCTAATTAACTAGCTATCCAACAACTCATCTTTACTGAAAAGTTATGAGTTGGAATGAGATGGGGGAGCTTAACAGGGATTTTCCTCCTACTGCCTTGCTTAAGCCACTTTTGCCAAGTTCTTCAGACGTAAAATAACGCATAATGCTGATACCGTGCTGAGGGAGTAATTCAGGATAAAACACTGCAATGTGCTCTACTACAATCCCCTCCCCCAACAAACAACAAAAAAAGCAAAAAGGTAACTGGCGAAAGCTTCAGAGGAAAGGATTTCTACATTAATAGGCATAAAATCCTTAGGGGCTCCAAACTAAAGGCAGTGGCTTTTCCCGCCAGACTTGATTTGCCTAAGGTAGACCTTCTAAATCTCAAGCAGTCTCCATTTTAAGTTGATCACTCACACTTCATACTTCACCATCAGCCAGCCAACAGCTGTATTTCTTCCCCAAAACCCTTTCTTTTTACTTATCCAACCTATCTTCTGCAGGAAGCCTCGCATTCAGCCCGTTTCCCAAAAAGAGGGTGGTTCACCTTGAAATTCTGTGTTGTCAAGGCCCCTGATGGCCTCCACTGCATCCTCTGCCCGCTCCATGTGTACAAAGGCATAATCTTTCACGATGTCACATTCGATAACTGGACCATACTCCTCGAACTTGGCCCGAAGCTCTTTGTTGGTACAAGTAGGGCTGATGTTGCCCACATGTAACTTTGTGGAAGTTTTGCTCTTATTCTTGCTGGCTTCCACGTTGATGTTCACCCCATGCAGTTTGTAGTGGTGCAGGTTGCGTATGGCATCCTCAGCCGCCGTCTTGTCTTCTATGTGCACAAAGCCGTAGTTCTTGATGATGTCACATTCCAGCACCTTCCCATACTGCTCGAAGAGTGAGCGGATCTCCTGCTCTGTGGCCTCCCGGGGCAGGTTTCCGATGAACAGCTTCACCATCTCGGCAGCCTGGATGAGAAGAGACAAAATTTCTAACAAAAGACCTTAGGCCCACATCAGTTTGGAGAGGGGAATCAATACTGCCATCTCTTCTCACTCTTAACCAATACTTCCAAACTTTCCCCTCTCTCACACACGCCCCACATGCACACCTCCACACAATGATAAAAGGAAAGTGGGAATAGGGAGGCCTGCTACAGTATTGGCTTTAAACCTACGATAACGGTAAGACTTCTATAATAGAAAAGCCCTTGGCAGACAAAGGGTTTGGATGTTTTCTAACGGTAATGTGCATGAGAGCATAAACGTAGGGCTGGAAGTAGTTGGCTGTTTTATCCACCGTGAGGACAGTCAGAAAACAAAGATCCAACTATTGACTGATTGGTCTGACTGCCTGAAATTATGAATTAGCTCTTCCTCTCGTAACCGAAAAAAATAGCCACCATTTCCGGAAAAGTGGGAATTATAACAGTTAAGTCTCAGGGTTTCCTTTGGAAGCAGAGAACTGGCGACTTGGGCCAGATAGCAAGGCATGAGTAGAACAGCTACTGGCGTGGGGAACGCCTCTCTCGCCGTGCCGTCCCTACGAGCTCCCACAGAACGGGGAAATGCATGGCCAGAGGAGGCTTCACACAGAAGCCAGACAACAATGTATCAGGGGCTGATGAATTCTCGAAACGGGGTTCTAATTCCTGCCTCTATGGGAAAGTTATCTCGGTGGAAACCTCGAGGTAGGAAGCCGAGCCAAGTCGGATAGAGGGCAGGGGGGTTAGAAAGCACGGTATTCTCGGGGGAGGACGTGGGGGAAGGGCTGCTTCAGGCTTACCGCGCAACGCCGAGCACCGAGGTCGGCTCTATGAGTGGTGCGGAGGCCGCGACCCCACTAGGATACCCCTGAAGCCCTAGTAAGTGAAATAAGATTTAATGGGGCAAAAGAAAGACAGCGGAGGGGCTCGGAGTCTCTCACCCGCACCGAAAATCAGCAGGGGCTCTTCCTCGCGGCGGCAGACGCTTCTCACAAAACGCTAAAATGGCGGCGACCGCAGCAGTGACTCTGGGTAGAGGGGGGGAGTGCGTCTGTCACCGGATTGGCCGGTCAATAAAGTAAAAGGCAGGCGTTCCCGCAGACCTTCCTCCTGATTGGTTATGACGAACGCCAATTACCTGAGAGGCCGGGAAGAGGTGGAAACGTCAGTAACCCCGGAGCTCTTACGCGAATACCAATGAGAACCAATCTCTCGAAGCTGGAGTCACTGATTGGGTAAGAGGTCGACGTAAGGGAGGAACCACAAACGTGGGCTTCGCCGGGGGAATTCAGCCCGCCATTAGGCGGCGGGACCTAGGACCCCGGGTGCCGGTTTTTAGCTTCATGGTGCCAATTGTGCTAAGCTTCCACATTTCGCCACTTTCACGTGCACTCCGACAGTATTCCGAAGCTCCGTTTTGCCCTGTACTCCAAACTTCTCCCTCTAAACTCCAAACACCATCCCCTCGCAAAATGCTGCGAACAATAGCTTACGCAGACCCAAAAAGACAGGTAAGGAAAATAGCAAATAGTATCCCTCAAAAAACCAACCACCTCCTTTGGCCAAAAACCCACACTGCAGTCCCCGTGGTCCCAGAGCTCCCCCTAAATTAAAACTTTTATAGGGTGTGAAAGGAACTCTGAAAACGATTAATGGGCGCAGTTTCAATTAGAGTAAAAACACTCCAAAGTCGGCTCGGTTGGGGGCTGCATTACTCAGGAGGCACTGACATTAGTTCCCTCGAGGAACCAAACTCCCGGGGTCTAAGATGATGGAAACGGCTTCTCTGGGCGACCGTGGAGATTGAGGTAACACCCGCAACAGACCCCACCCTGAGAAAGAACTGGAGAAGCAAAGTTTTGTGTTTTATTTTATTGGGCGCCATCAGCCAGAGCTTTAGGTTTAAATTCCCAGAACCGACCTTGGAGGGAAGAGCCTAATCACAACCAGCTATACAACAAAAATTCAATCAAAATGGCATTCTCGAAGAGGGTCCGGCTCCCCCATCACATTTTCTTTCGCATCCTGTCTTCTTCAGAATCCCACATTCATTGCGAAAGCAATGACCCTTTACAAGGCAACTTTTGAAAACGGAGTTAAGGTGGGATGGGCAATGCTGGATAGAAGAACTTAAAACTCGAACTAAAAATATGATAAAAGCAGTGAATTGTAAGGAAAGGAGTGCAGATGACAGTAGAACATACTACAGTCCAAAGCAGCCCCCAAAAAGGAGTGGGGGTCATAAAGAAAGTGAAGTCAAAGTTATGGAAATGGATTTTAAAACCTGACATGACTCAAAAATCTCATGATGGAAAACTGGTCAAGACTTATTCTTAGGGTGGGAAAAGGTAAGGACCTAAAAATGTCAAAATACAACATTTACATATGTGGTGGTTGCTAATCTTGGTCCATTTTCATTGTGGAAACTGATGCTGATACAAGTAAAGACCCATAGAATCAGTGATGAAGAAAAGCAATTCCATGTTAGTCAACTGTATGTGTGCTCTTTTGAGAGGGCCAGCATAAGGAGGTAGGTGGTCCCAACTCAATCTGCACAGGGAAACTCATCTGGCATAGAAATTCTCAGCTTCTTTCAGTTTAATCTTCCGAATTTGCGTCCCAATAGCTCTTGAGATAAACTTTCTTCCAAAAATACCACAGCATATAAAATCAACTCACCCTATCAAACTAGGAATCTCTCCAAGTCCAAAGAGAAGAGACTGGGAATATTCTATCTTCTCAGGATCAGAATTCAAGACACGTTGAAGTGCGCGCGCACGCACACACACACAATCTATTTGATTTACCTTCTGAAAGCCCTCTACTCGAGGTGTTGTTTTATTTTTGTAAGCTCATCCAACTGAGTAAACCACATTTAATCATCTCCCTGCTTTTAAAAACTAATTGCAAATGGGAAAATATCAAATTCACTCTACCCAATCTGTTTCTTACCAGAAACAATCTTTTTAACAAACCTTCCTACCCCCCCACCCATGCTCCAGCACACGGATCTTTTTGTCCCAAGCTCAGACTGGAATGTTCTCTCTCCAGGTCTTTTGAGGGCCACCCCATCTGAAGATGTCCTCCAACTCCAACCCTACTTGGAACTCTATCCTATGGCTCCATGTTATTTTTCCAAATACTTACCACTTGAAATTCTATTTATTCATTTTCTACCTTCCTCCCACCCCTGCCCCAAGTAAATACTTCTCCTACAAGGACAGAGACTTTTTATTGTTCCCTACTACATCCTCAGTGTTAGAACTGCACATGGCACATGGCAGGGACTAAAATATTTGAGTAAGTTAACAAATGGGTGAATTACTGCATGAATTAACTTCTTGGTAACTAAAAGAAAAGACTTTGAAATGACTTTGGATTTTCCGTCAGTATCAACTTAAGAACATGAACACCTAGTACTTGTTGGCACCTGGTATACTTTCCAGTTTCCCTCAACCAGAAATGCAGGTGCCCCAAATCCAGGGGTTACCTATGCTCCAGCTTTTGACTGCCAGGATTACCAGCTTGAAAAATGCTTCATAATGAAGCTTTAGTAGGAAGATTTGCAGTTCAATGTTTCCAATGCTGATGTTCATTTACCCAACTATTTTACAGAGTACTAAAGCTTAATGTCTGCTCCCCTCAGACGCCATTAAAAGTCTTCCAATTAAGCACATCTGGTCCAAATCCTCTACTTTACCACCTCAACTACAGAGAATGGGATTGAATGAGATATTTTAAAAGCACCTGGTCTGGAACACTGTAGATGCCATACTGGTGACTCTTAATTTGCTGATCAGATTACCAACCCCCTAAAAGTAAAGTAACTTGTCCACAGTCATCTAGAAAGCTGATGTACTGTCAGAGACACGCATAAATATATTCTGGCTGCAGATCTTGAAGAGATGTAAAAGCCTGGACTCAAAAGGGAAATGAGAGGCAAATCCAAATTTAGAGGAGAAACTGTTTACAGTGAAGCCTCAAATGTGGATAAGCAGCAATCTTTATTACTTTCACACCCTTGGGGTTGAATATATATAATTTATATACCTAACCAGTAACTCTGGCCCCTGGTCCACAAATGAGTTACTGGTCTAGTAACAGCTCAAATTAAAAACCAGGATTCTCCAAGGATGTTCAGAGGGAGCCACTAGGCCAATCAAGCAAGCTTCCTGGCTTCCAATTTCACAGCCAGCTATACCCTCTTAGCCTTCCCTTAATGTCTTCTTCACAGGTCTCCTACCCCTTATCTTTCTTCTCTATACCTAGAAGAATCTGACCCAGGACAATGATAGGGTTCCAAGACTGAAGGTGACCAGAATCAGTGTGGTCCAGCACCTTAAGTCAATTCTAAGTACCCCTCATTATAAACCTCCACTACCTTCACTGTTACTTTTAAGTGAGACCCTCACTCCTACATCCAAAGTCCTTTGCTCAGCTGTGTGCTCCACTAGGCCATCTCAACTGCCCCAGAACGTCCTCACTTCTACGAGACGGCCAGCATATAATGAGCAGTGACTACAAATGAAGCCCTACATTTGCCAATGTTCTCATTCAATCCTTCCAACAATATTACCAAGATTACAAGCAAAGTCCTGGGCAGTTCAAAATGGCTGGTTCAGTTTCTTGACCTGCTGCATTCCAGCCATGTGCTCTTAATAAAAGTTACTTAACGTAAAACATCAACTTCCCCATTTGTAAAATAGGTTTAGAAATACCTAATGCATGTGGGTCTCGATGAAGACTAAATGAAATAAATATATGAAAAGCACTTTTAACAGTGCTTACATGTTCAATATTTGTTAGCTATTATCCCCTGGTTTTATAGAGGAAAAACTGAGGCAGAGTCCCTGATATATACAGAATCACACAGCTAAGTGGTAGAACCAAGATTCAAACTCAGGAAACCTGACTTTAGAGACAACACCCTTAGTCACTGTCAGAAATTCTCTCTATGCCCAGTTTTACAATTAAATAAATCCTGACTCCAGAAAGTGTGCTCTAACTACTGGCACTGCTCCATCCTCTCCTTCCTGACCTGCCACTTCCCTAGCAATGCTTATTAACTTTAATTGGTTTGTTGAGGAAGGTCCTGCCTCCCAGGCTATAAATTTAAGGTCAACCCAAGGGCTTAGCTACATGAACACTGTATTTCCAGATACAGTGGAATCTGTGTTTACAGACACACTATTTCAAATAATTTAGAACTGGACTTGAAATCACTTTAAGAACTTTTAGTTTTCTGGACAACTCTATATTCTACCCTTCATGATCTTTTTAAAGGTGCCCATAGAATTTGGGTGAACATAAATTCTCCACCTGCTACCCATCTCACCTTCTCTATTACCCAAATTCCAACTATATAGCATACTAGTAAATCTAAGAAACGTAGTTTCATTATGACTTCAGCCACCTCATGTTGCTTTGGGTCAACTGACTTGACACTACAAAATAACTGGAGACCAACAGTCTGTGCATGGACTTCGGCATGACGAGAAGGTAGCCTACCCACAGAGGCTAATCACTCAGTGACAGTCCCATTACCTCCAGTACAAAGGCTGGGTCCCCAGGCCTACCCCAGACAGAATGCGAAGTAAGGTCCAAACATCAGGAGAGAGCAGGCGACAAGGCTAGCATAGAAGCCTCTACATGGTCTTGTTTGAAGAGTAAACCAGGACAACTTCTCCAATGAAAGCCAAGTTGTAGAGGTAATAGATGCAAAAGTGCAAAGATCTAAAAGACAATGGGAGCCCACATTCCCCACCCATTTTCCCAAAACACACATTAAATATCTGTCCTCCCATCCATTCAACCCAAATGTTTCCAAGTTCCAGGACCCTGTAAATCAGAAATCCACAAAAAGCAAAGTATGAGTAGTGGGCTATAAGATTAACACAGGTAGCATAATTTAAATAAAAGAGGTGAGAGAATTTTTAAATAATCTTCAAGCAAAAGGAAAATGATGAAACGGTTTAGCTTTGTAGCCCTTTCTGGCTTAAACAACGAGAAGCCTGAGGGCTAAAGCAGCAAGAGGGCATCAGGACCTGGAGATGATGGGCAGTTAGGGAGATCATCTAGGCCAGGTCTCACTGAAGAACTAGGCTGCAGTAAAGAACATCAGTGCGGCCCCAAGAGCACAGTAAGCTATTTTTCACAGGGAACAAAGGGACTAGAACAGCGGCAGAACCCTCACTGGAAAGAAAGGAAGACAGAAAGCCACATTAACAAAGAAGTATTACAAATACACAGGCCACAATCACAACCCTACAATCAATCAACCCACCATTTTCCGGAGTAATAAGCAGAGCTAAGCTTATTAGCTTGGCCCTCAGATCATCCTACATTCACTGCAGAGAAATGACAAGAACCTATCAAACTAACCCCTCCCAGTCCTGCGAAAAAAAGAGCAGCAGCAAAGCACCTGAAGGCAAAGCAGTGAGCAGAAAGAAAAGCAAGGAAAAGAGCAATGGTCCCAATACCCAGAGATACACATTTATATCCACAAGTAAGAGCTCATGGTTATGAAGACCATATGCTTTTGCCCTCTGGGCAGAGGGAAGAGAACATCTGGTGTAAACTACTTTGAACAGGCAAGTTCACAAGAAGCCAGCTGGAGGCATAATGCCCACCTGAACTCCACCTGATTGACACACACCCTCCCCAAAATTGCCTTGCCCCAGCAGGCTCCCAAATTCAATCTCTAAAGCCCACTTTCCCAATGGAACATCAGTAGTTCTTCTTATCACGACACCCAAGTCTTCTACCATTCACTCATCAAGCCCAAGCCTAAGCCTCCATCTTGCCCTGGACTGGAACTGTCATATACTTTTTGCTCAGGTCCTCTCAACCCCCCGTCCCAGATTAGGAGCATAAAAACAATCTTTGATTCCTCAACCTTATTCCAACATCCCTACTTAGTTATGCTTGCACCTTACCCCTTTCCCAGAATCTGTATTTACACCTTCAAATACAAACCCAGCAAGAAAAAATATCTGGCAACCCTAACAAGAAGAGATAGGGAAAGTGATTCCCGGGTGACTATGATGGCAGAAGTTGGCAGGACACAGAAGGACACTCCATGATGTTCAACAGGCGAAATATCAGGTCTATGGCCAGAATCCCCCAGACCTGCTTCCAATCGTTTCTGCCCTTCTCCAACCACAGGGCAGTAGCAGACCACACATCACCACCCACACCACTGGCTCTTTTCCGGGTCCCAGCCCCAGCACTCACTCCAGCCCACTGCCTGAAGGATCCACTAGCTCATAAGCACCAAAGCAGCCCATTCCTTGCTTCTCACTTGAGAAGCCAAACCCCAGAACCATCCTGCTGGAGCACAGGTTGTCTCTGAACTGGAAACAAGTCAGGGAAAATGGTCAAGCATAGGCAGAGGAAAATGGGAAATAAATTCACTGCATTTTGTTGTGATTAATTCAATTTGAGGGCCAAGGAAATCCAAGCAACTTGGTCTGGACTCTCCCAGGCCTAAACATGGCGGACTAGCAGGATAATGACGAGCTAAATCCCTCTGGGCAGCAGGGAAATCATTCTAATTCCCACATGCAAACCCCTTTCCTCATCTGCCGTGGGTTCCCTGGCTGCCTTCCCTTCAGCTGTCATGTCTTCCTGGATGTCAAACTGGCTCCTCTGAAACTGAATGCAATCAAGACAATGACAACCAGGTTTCCAAACTGCAAATTGCCCCAAGTTTTATTTGTAGTCCATACAAAAGGGAAAAAAAATTAAGGTTTTCTAACACCACCTACTTGGGGAGATGGGGAATTGGGACTGTGCTGCTCAGCATTAGCTAGAACATCAGGGGTCAGTAGGGATTTGGACGTATACCAACCGACTGTCCCAACAGGAACTCAGTATCAACACAGTCTACAAAGGAACAAAGTCAGGGTCCCCTGGGCTGCTGGCACAGCTTGGTGCATAGGAAATGGTTAGGCTAACCATTTCCTGGTCTCCCTCACATCTAAAAAGAAAAAGGCGCCGCCGACCTCAGCTGTAGGTTGCTTCCCCATCCAGATGACCTTAAATATCGCGCACAAAAATAAAAGGGAGCCAGGAAAAAAAAAAACATAAAAGAAACTCCCATCCTGGGGAGATGGGAGGCAGGGGAGAGGGGAAACCGCAGATCTAGAGCCAGTAGCAAGATTTGCTGCTGAGGCGAAGGAACAAAGGTTACTGCCGAACACTCATAAGGATCATTTCCTGGGGATGGCCCACATGGTTAGAGGGAATGAAAAACCGCCAACAGGAGAGGTGTGGGCCAGTGGTTACAACCAGGGTCTGCACCCTACCCCACCTTCTCCTCTCCCCTCCCTGTGGTGCCCCATCCCAGGATGGCCCTACATGCGGCGCTGGTAGCCAGAGTGCATCTGAGCTGCCCGCAGGTAATCATTATAGGAGCCCGAATAGCGTGCGTAATCAGAATGGGCATCGGGCAGGCGACGGTAATCCAGCGAGGACTTTGTCGGCGAGCGGCGGAACGAAAGCTGCGACTCTGATAAACGGCGGTAATCAGAGAGCTCGGCTAAACGCCGGTCGGAACCATACCTAGTCGAGAGAAGAAGACAGTTGGTGAATGAGACAATTGAGGGGAGGGCTCCAGGTGGGCATGGGGGAGATGCCAATGGGATAGGGAGGGTGCGATCAGATTGGTCTCCAACAAACAAGACTTTGTCAGAAGGCTCATCACCCTATCCAGGGCAAGAAATCAAGCCTGGTTCAACTCAGTGGGAAACCAAGCGCACCACTGAAGCCCTCCCTTCTGATGTGGACAAGGTGGATTTTGATCTACATTCCCAAACCACAAACAATCCCCATCCCTGGGCCCTGCACAGAAAGACCTTGGTTTTTATCGACAGAACGGCGGATGAAAGCAAGGTCCCCAACTTCCTCCAGAGTGGACGCACCTCATACACCTTGCCTTCAGTCAGTGAGTGCCAAAGGGACTACTCTTTCAAACCCACCCCCACCAAAGCCAGGACAACCACATAACAAGCTTAAGGATACTTGAGACGGTGGGAAAGGCTATGGGGAGACAATCTTGCAGGCAGTGGCTCCAATGGCAGTTGGGCTTGCCTAGACAGGTGACACTTTTCCCAGACTGACTAGTTGGTACCACCCCAGGCTGAGCACTATGCTCCATCTGAACCCTGGTGGCCTGAGAAGCTCAGATATCACCCCCCTCGGCCTCTGGACATCCCACAGGAGTAGAGAAGACCAAGGGAGGGGCCAATTGCTCCAGTTTCCCTCCCATGCCAACCTCAGCCCCTTGCCCTAAGCCCCAGCTGGGGGCAGAGGCGGGGGGGGCATACAGTACCTTTTCGACATGGCGACAGCCTTTTTGTAGGGATCGTCGTAGCTGGCCCGGGGTGGGGAGAGGCGGGTACGCTCATAGGGCGGCGGGGTGCTGTTGGCGTTGGCAACGGCCCCCTGGGACATGGACAGGTAGGCTGCAGACGGCTGACCTGCCCCATCGTAGGCATTGCCCGGCTGGCCACGATAGGAGGCAGCAGCCTGGGGATGCTGCTGGGCAGCATAGGAAGCAGCCAATGAGGCTGACTGAGTGCGGTAAGGAGCTGCCAGGGTGGCAGAAGGCTGGGCCCCATAGGCAGCTGCAGCACCATAGGAGCCAGTGGCTGCAGCAGCTGACTGAGCCCCATAGGAGCCTGACAGGCCCATTGATGCTTGAGCCCCATAACTGTTCAGTTGGGTCTGAACAACCGGCTGGGCACCATAGGAGCCAGCCATTGGGGTAGCAGCTTGTGCAGCATAGGCAGCTGGCTGGTTGGCATAGGCAGCAGCTGTAGCTGGCTGTGCCACGTAGGTAGCAGGCTGGGAAGAGTAGGAAGCAGCCTGCTGTGCGGCATATGGGGCAGACTGGGGATTGTACGAAGCCGAGGGCTGGGCATTGTAAGAAGCTGCCTGGGCCCCATATGCTAGTGAGGAGGCCGCAGACTGGGCCCCATAGGAGGCTGCCTGGGCCCCATAGGAGCCTAGGGAGGAAGCTGCTCCCTGGGTGTTGTAGGAGGCAGCCGCACGAACTCCATAAGAGGCAGCCTGTGCGCCATAAGAAGATGGCTGGTTACCGTAGGAGGCAAGGGAGGAGCCTTGAGCCCCATAGGAGTTGAGCGAGGAAGCCGCAGCTGGCTGACCTCCATAGGAGAGGGCAGAGGCCGAAGGCTGGGCTCCACCATATGGGCCAAGCGAGGAAGCTGCAGCAGACTGGGAGCTAGGGCTAGCTAGCTGGCCCCTGTATGGGGCCCCAAGGGAGACAGAGGGCTGAGCGCGGTAAGAGGCCGCCTGGGCTGTCATGGGCTGAGTCCGATAGCCAACACCCAAAGAGGCAGAAGGCTGTGCCCTGTAGGCAGCTCCCAAAGACACTGAGGGCTGGGCCCGGTAGGTGGCTGGCTGGGCCGTCAGAGGAGCCACGTAAGAGGCTCGGGGAGGTGAACGGCGCAGGGGGCTGCGGTCGCGACCAAAGAAAGGTGGTGTGGGCTGACGGGCTTGCCCATCAAAGCCACCAGTGCTGTTGCCAAAAGCCTGCTGGTAGTCGAAGGTGGCAGAGAAGCCACCAGTTCCAGGGAATGCCGTATCCCCAGCCCCTGGTTTCTTGGTCTTGTCCCCAGACTGGATAGCCAGGCCAGGCCCCTTCTTCTGACCCTTGGTTGAGAGTTCCACGTTGATGCGCTTGCCCTTCACTTCTTTGCCGTTGAGCTGCGCGATGGCGGCTTTGGCATCTGCTTCCTTCTCCATGTGAACAAACGCGTAGTCTGATAAAGCAGCAGACAGAGGGTTAGCAATTAGGGGGGCAGGGCATGCTACCCAATGGGTCCCAAATTGGATACACAACAGCACCCAGCTGTTGTCAACTTCCTCCAGGCCTCCAAACCCTCCTTCTCCAGGAGTATGTCATAAAATGTGGCTCCCATATTAGCAAAGCTTCTGACTATCCCAAGCAGTCACCTTTGCCTATGGCCTTCTCCCTATTCTTCCCTTTCCCCCTGTCACCTCACCCAACTTCCTGGTGAGAGAAGGAANTAAAGTAACTTGTCCACAGTCATCTAGAAAGCTGATGTACTGTCAGAGACACGCATAAATATATTCTGGCTGCAGATCTTGAAGAGATGTAAAAGCCTGGACTCAAAAGGGAAATGAGAGGCAAATCCAAATTTAGAGGAGAAACTGTTTACAGTGAAGCCTCAAATGTGGATAAGCAGCAATCTTTATTACTTTCACACCCTTGGGGTTGAATATATATAATTTATATACCTAACCAGTAACTCTGGCCCCTGGTCCACAAATGAGTTACTGGTCTAGTAACAGCTCAAATTAAAAACCAGGATTCTCCAAGGATGTTCAGAGGGAGCCACTAGGCCAATCAAGCAAGCTTCCTGGCTTCCAATTTCACAGCCAGCTATACCCTCTTAGCCTTCCCTTAATGTCTTCTTCACAGGTCTCCTACCCCTTATCTTTCTTCTCTATACCTAGAAGAATCTGACCCAGGACAATGATAGGGTTCCAAGACTGAAGGTGACCAGAATCAGTGTGGTCCAGCACCTTAAGTCAATTCTAAGTACCCCTCATTATAAACCTCCACTACCTTCACTGTTACTTTTAAGTGAGACCCTCACTCCTACATCCAAAGTCCTTTGCTCAGCTGTGTGCTCCACTAGGCCATCTCAACTGCCCCAGAACGTCCTCACTTCTACGAGACGGCCAGCATATAATGAGCAGTGACTACAAATGAAGCCCTACATTTGCCAATGTTCTCATTCAATCCTTCCAACAATATTACCAAGATTACAAGCAAAGTCCTGGGCAGTTCAAAATGGCTGGTTCAGTTTCTTGACCTGCTGCATTCCAGCCATGTGCTCTTAATAAAAGTTACTTAACGTAAAACATCAACTTCCCCATTTGTAAAATAGGTTTAGAAATACCTAATGCATGTGGGTCTCGATGAAGACTAAATGAAATAAATATATGAAAAGCACTTTTAACAGTGCTTACATGTTCAATATTTGTTAGCTATTATCCCCTGGTTTTATAGAGGAAAAACTGAGGCAGAGTCCCTGATATATACAGAATCACACAGCTAAGTGGTAGAACCAAGATTCAAACTCAGGAAACCTGACTTTAGAGACAACACCCTTAGTCACTGTCAGAAATTCTCTCTATGCCCAGTTTTACAATTAAATAAATCCTGACTCCAGAAAGTGTGCTCTAACTACTGGCACTGCTCCATCCTCTCCTTCCTGACCTGCCACTTCCCTAGCAATGCTTATTAACTTTAATTGGTTTGTTGAGGAAGGTCCTGCCTCCCAGGCTATAAATTTAAGGTCAACCCAAGGGCTTAGCTACATGAACACTGTATTTCCAGATACAGTGGAATCTGTGTTTACAGACACACTATTTCAAATAATTTAGAACTGGACTTGAAATCACTTTAAGAACTTTTAGTTTTCTGGACAACTCTATATTCTACCCTTCATGATCTTTTTAAAGGTGCCCATAGAATTTGGGTGAACATAAATTCTCCACCTGCTACCCATCTCACCTTCTCTATTACCCAAATTCCAACTATATAGCATACTAGTAAATCTAAGAAACGTAGTTTCATTATGACTTCAGCCACCTCATGTTGCTTTGGGTCAACTGACTTGACACTACAAAATAACTGGAGACCAACAGTCTGTGCATGGACTTCGGCATGACGAGAAGGTAGCCTACCCACAGAGGCTAATCACTCAGTGACAGTCCCATTACCTCCAGTACAAAGGCTGGGTCCCCAGGCCTACCCCAGACAGAATGCGAAGTAAGGTCCAAACATCAGGAGAGAGCAGGCGACAAGGCTAGCATAGAAGCCTCTACATGGTCTTGTTTGAAGAGTAAACCAGGACAACTTCTCCAATGAAAGCCAAGTTGTAGAGGTAATAGATGCAAAAGTGCAAAGATCTAAAAGACAATGGGAGCCCACATTCCCCACCCATTTTCCCAAAACACACATTAAATATCTGTCCTCCCATCCATTCAACCCAAATGTTTCCAAGTTCCAGGACCCTGTAAATCAGAAATCCACAAAAAGCAAAGTATGAGTAGTGGGCTATAAGATTAACACAGGTAGCATAATTTAAATAAAAGAGGTGAGAGAATTTTTAAATAATCTTCAAGCAAAAGGAAAATGATGAAACGGTTTAGCTTTGTAGCCCTTTCTGGCTTAAACAACGAGAAGCCTGAGGGCTAAAGCAGCAAGAGGGCATCAGGACCTGGAGATGATGGGCAGTTAGGGAGATCATCTAGGCCAGGTCTCACTGAAGAACTAGGCTGCAGTAAAGAACATCAGTGCGGCCCCAAGAGCACAGTAAGCTATTTTTCACAGGGAACAAAGGGACTAGAACAGCGGCAGAACCCTCACTGGAAAGAAAGGAAGACAGAAAGCCACATTAACAAAGAAGTATTACAAATACACAGGCCACAATCACAACCCTACAATCAATCAACCCACCATTTTCCGGAGTAATAAGCAGAGCTAAGCTTATTAGCTTGGCCCTCAGATCATCCTACATTCACTGCAGAGAAATGACAAGAACCTATCAAACTAACCCCTCCCAGTCCTGCGAAAAAAAGAGCAGCAGCAAAGCACCTGAAGGCAAAGCAGTGAGCAGAAAGAAAAGCAAGGAAAAGAGCAATGGTCCCAATACCCAGAGATACACATTTATATCCACAAGTAAGAGCTCATGGTTATGAAGACCATATGCTTTTGCCCTCTGGGCAGAGGTAAGAGAACATCTGGTGTAAACTACTTTGAACAGGCAAGTTCACAAGAAGCCAGCTGGAGGCATAATGCCCACCTGAACTCCACCTGATTGACACACACCCTCCCCAAAATTGCCTTGCCCCAGCAGGCTCCCAAATTCAATCTCTAAAGCCCACTTTCCCAATGGAACATCAGTAGTTCTTCTTATCACGACACCCAAGTCTTCTACCATTCACTCATCAAGCCCAAGCCTAAGCCTCCATCTTGCCCTGGACTGGAACTGTCATATACTTTTTGCTCAGGTCCTCTCAACCCCCCGTCCCAGATTAGGAGCATAAAAACAATCTTTGATTCCTCAACCTTATTCCAACATCCCTACTTAGTTATGCTTGCACCTTACCCCTTTCCCAGAATCTGTATTTACACCTTCAAATACAAACCCAGCAAGAAAAAATATCTGGCAACCCTAACAAGAAGAGATAGGGAAAGTGATTCCCGGGTGACTATGATGGCAGAAGTTGGCAGGACACAGAAGGACACTCCATGATGTTCAACAGGCGAAATATCAGGTCTATGGCCAGAATCCCCCAGACCTGCTTCCAATCGTTTCTGCCCTTCTCCAACCACAGGGCAGTAGCAGACCACACATCACCACCCACACCACTGGCTCTTTTCCGGGTCCCAGCCCCAGCACTCACTCCAGCCCACTGCCTGAAGGATCCACTAGCTCATAAGCACCAAAGCAGCCCATTCCTTGCTTCTCACTTGAGAAGCCAAACCCCAGAACCATCCTGCTGGAGCACAGGTTGTCTCTGAACTGGAAACAAGTCAGGGAAAATGGTCAAGCATAGGCAGAGGAAAATGGGAAATAAATTCACTGCATTTTGTTGTGATTAATTCAATTTGAGGGCCAAGGAAATCCAAGCAACTTGGTCTGGACTCTCCCAGGCCTAAACATGGCGGACTAGCAGGATAATGACGAGCTAAATCCCTCTGGGCAGCAGGGAAATCATTCTAATTCCCACATGCAAACCCCTTTCCTCATCTGCCGTGGGTTCCCTGGCTGCCTTCCCTTCAGCTGTCATGTCTTCCTGGATGTCAAACTGGCTCCTCTGAAACTGAATGCAATCAAGACAATGACAACCAGGTTTCCAAACTGCAAATTGCCCCAAGTTTTATTTGTAGTCCATACAAAAGGGAAAAAAAATTAAGGTTTTCTAACACCACCTACTTGGGGAGATGGGGAATTGGGACTGTGCTGCTCAGCATTAGCTAGAACATCAGGGGTCAGTAGGGATTTGGACGTATACCAACCGACTGTCCCAACAGGAACTCAGTATCAACACAGTCTACAAAGGAACAAAGTCAGGGTCCCCTGGGCTGCTGGCACAGCTTGGTGCATAGGAAATGGTTAGGCTAACCATTTCCTGGTCTCCCTCACATCTAAAAAGAAAAAGGCGCCGCCGACCTCAGCTGTAGGTTGCTTCCCCATCCAGATGACCTTAAATATCGCGCACAAAAATAAAAGGGAGCCAGGAAAAAAAAAAACATAAAAGAAACTCCCATCCTGGGGAGATGGGAGGCAGGGGAGAGGGGAAACCGCAGATCTAGAGCCAGTAGCAAGATTTGCTGCTGAGGCGAAGGAACAAAGGTTACTGCCGAACACTCATAAGGATCATTTCCTGGGGATGGCCCACATGGTTAGAGGGAATGAAAAACCGCCAACAGGAGAGGTGTGGGCCAGTGGTTACAACCAGGGTCTGCACCCTACCCCACCTTCTCCTCTCCCCTCCCTGTGGTGCCCCATCCCAGGATGGCCCTACATGCGGCGCTGGTAGCCAGAGTGCATCTGAGCTGCCCGCAGGTAATCATTATAGGAGCCCGAATAGCGTGCGTAATCAGAATGGGCATCGGGCAGGCGACGGTAATCCAGCGAGGACTTTGTCGGCGAGCGGCGGAACGAAAGCTGCGACTCTGATAAACGGCGGTAATCAGAGAGCTCGGCTAAACGCCGGTCGGAACCATACCTAGTCGAGAGAAGAAGACAGTTGGTGAATGAGACAATTGAGGGGAGGGCTCCAGGTGGGCATGGGGGAGATGCCAATGGGATAGGGAGGGTGCGATCAGATTGGTCTCCAACAAACAAGACTTTGTCAGAAGGCTCATCACCCTATCCAGGGCAAGAAATCAAGCCTGGTTCAACTCAGTGGGAAACCAAGCGCACCACTGAAGCCCTCCCTTCTGATGTGGACAAGGTGGATTTTGATCTACATTCCCAAACCACAAACAATCCCCATCCCTGGGCCCTGCACAGAAAGACCTTGGTTTTTATCGACAGAACGGCGGATGAAAGCAAGGTCCCCAACTTCCTCCAGAGTGGACGCACCTCATACACCTTGCCTTCAGTCAGTGAGTGCCAAAGGGACTACTCTTTCAAACCCACCCCCACCAAAGCCAGGACAACCACATAACAAGCTTAAGGATACTTGAGACGGTGGGAAAGGCTATGGGGAGACAATCTTGCAGGCAGTGGCTCCAATGGCAGTTGGGCTTGCCTAGACAGGTGACACTTTTCCCAGACTGACTAGTTGGTACCACCCCAGGCTGAGCACTATGCTCCATCTGAACCCTGGTGGCCTGAGAAGCTCAGATATCACCCCCCTCGGCCTCTGGACATCCCACAGGAGTAGAGAAGACCAAGGGAGGGGCCAATTGCTCCAGTTTCCCTCCCATGCCAACCTCAGCCCCTTGCCCTAAGCCCCAGCTGGGGGCAGAGGCGGGGGGGGCATACAGTACCTTTTCGACATGGCGACAGCCTTTTTGTAGGGATCGTCGTAGCTGGCCCGGGGTGGGGAGAGGCGGGTACGCTCATAGGGCGGCGGGGTGCTGTTGGCGTTGGCAACGGCCCCCTGGGACATGGACAGGTAGGCTGCAGACGGCTGACCTGCCCCATCGTAGGCATTGCCCGGCTGGCCACGATAGGAGGCAGCAGCCTGGGGATGCTGCTGGGCAGCATAGGAAGCAGCCAATGAGGCTGACTGAGTGCGGTAAGGAGCTGCCAGGGTGGCAGAAGGCTGGGCCCCATAGGCAGCTGCAGCACCATAGGAGCCAGTGGCTGCAGCAGCTGACTGAGCCCCATAGGAGCCTGACAGGCCCATTGATGCTTGAGCCCCATAACTGTTCAGTTGGGTCTGAACAACCGGCTGGGCACCATAGGAGCCAGCCATTGGGGTAGCAGCTTGTGCAGCATAGGCAGCTGGCTGGTTGGCATAGGCAGCAGCTGTAGCTGGCTGTGCCACGTAGGTAGCAGGCTGGGAAGAGTAGGAAGCAGCCTGCTGTGCGGCATATGGGGCAGACTGGGGATTGTACGAAGCCGAGGGCTGGGCATTGTAAGAAGCTGCCTGGGCCCCATATGCTAGTGAGGAGGCCGCAGACTGGGCCCCATAGGAGGCTGCCTGGGCCCCATAGGAGCCTAGGGAGGAAGCTGCTCCCTGGGTGTTGTAGGAGGCAGCCGCACGAACTCCATAAGAGGCAGCCTGTGCGCCATAAGAAGATGGCTGGTTACCGTAGGAGGCAAGGGAGGAGCCTTGAGCCCCATAGGAGTTGAGCGAGGAAGCCGCAGCTGGCTGACCTCCATAGGAGAGGGCAGAGGCCGAAGGCTGGGCTCCACCATATGGGCCAAGCGAGGAAGCTGCAGCAGACTGGGAGCTAGGGCTAGCTAGCTGGCCCCTGTATGGGGCCCCAAGGGAGACAGAGGGCTGAGCGCGGTAAGAGGCCGCCTGGGCTGTCATGGGCTGAGTCCGATAGCCAACACCCAAAGAGGCAGAAGGCTGTGCCCTGTAGGCAGCTCCCAAAGACACTGAGGGCTGGGCCCGGTAGGTGGCTGGCTGGGCCGTCAGAGGAGCCACGTAAGAGGCTCGGGGAGGTGAACGGCGCAGGGGGCTGCGGTCGCGACCAAAGAAAGGTGGTGTGGGCTGACGGGCTTGCCCATCAAAGCCACCAGTGCTGTTGCCAAAAGCCTGCTGGTAGTCGAAGGTGGCAGAGAAGCCACCAGTTCCAGGGAATGCCGTATCCCCAGCCCCTGGTTTCTTGGTCTTGTCCCCAGACTGGATAGCCAGGCCAGGCCCCTTCTTCTGACCCTTGGTTGAGAGTTCCACGTTGATGCGCTTGCCCTTCACTTCTTTGCCGTTGAGCTGCGCGATGGCGGCTTTGGCATCTGCTTCCTTCTCCATGTGAACAAACGCGTAGTCTGATAAAGCAGCAGACAGAGGGTTAGCAATTAGGGGGGCAGGGCATGCTACCCAATGGGTCCCAAATTGGATACACAACAGCACCCAGCTGTTGTCAACTTCCTCCAGGCCTCCAAACCCTCCTTCTCCAGGAGTATGTCATAAAATGTGGCTCCCATATTAGCAAAGCTTCTGACTATCCCAAGCAGTCACCTTTGCCTATGGCCTTCTCCCTATTCTTCCCTTTCCCCCTGTCACCTCACCCAACTTCCTGGTGAGAGAAGGAAGAGCTAAGATGAACTGCAACACAGAACAGAAATCTTCACAGCTCCTGTAAGCATAAACCAGCAGACAAAATGCAGAAAGGGTTCCTGGATCAATTATTCAGTGTTCTCTAACCCAAGGTCACCAAACACTACTGCTCACCTTTGAGGCTTAACTCTAAAAACACTGGAAATGACATGTCTTGGCATGACCCATGTCTCAGCCCAGGCTCCAATTAAGGCAAAAGGACTAGCCTGCAAGGCAAAGTTCACAAAATTCCTCCAATATGACCTTCCCTTTCTCATCATACCACTTTTTTCCAATTTTCCAAAGCACTTCCACGCACTGCATCTCTTTGGAGCCTCACAACAATCCTTTGAGACAGGCAGAACAGAGGATCATTATCCTCATTTTACAAGAGGCAAACATACTCAGAGAATTTATACAGCTTGCCCCAAATCAAGATGTGTTAGAGCCAGGAACAGAATACCAGCTCTTCCACACCTCATCACTACACCAGTCTATCCCTGAGAATTCAACGTAGAAGGCAAGACTGCCATATGACTAGAAATTTAAGCTTAGAAAGGGAGATGCTGGAATGGAAACTGAGCCTCCTGACTTGAGTTCAGGCCCAAGCCTCCCCTCCCCCAGGCTACATTACATCCTCCACTGGTTCTCTTTCAAAAGAGGTATGCCTTACCGGCTTGCACTTCTTTCACAGAACAGGCCATTTCTCAGGACAGATTTGGTTTCTCAGCTTCAAGGTGAGAAGTTGCAATTACTGCAGCTAGAAAGCTCTGCTAAGTAGTTTACCCGAGGTCCTCACTCAGGACCTAAATGAGCAGTGGTGGGATAGGCTCTAAATAGAATGTTGACCTCTAAGTCCTACTCATTTACCACACAGAATGAGACAATTTTAGGAGGGGGAGGGGTGGGAAGAAGAAATTCTTGTTCATGCCCAAACTTACATGTAAACCACAATGGTGTAAGCAAGATCTGAAAAACAGTAAGCTCAGGATTGTGGGAAATAAGGCCATGCATTTAACCCCATCTGGACCTGTGGCTTCTTTAAGATACAGTCTAAGTACAAGGACCCCATTTCACTTCTCAGTTTAGGAAATGAACTATCTGGATGAAATTACTAAGGTTCCCTTCTTTAAGATAAATCCTTTTAAATAGCCTCTAAACAAGTGTTTTAATTTCTGGAAACTTTCACACTGAGATGCCCTCTCTAGCTGCTCTTATAGAGCAAGTCATTTTCCTGGATGTGAGGCAATGCCACCAACCCAACTCTCATATAAATGAGAATGAAATATAATCACCAGGCAGAAGTCAGAAATAAGATAGAGCACAAAGAATGCTGGGTAAGAGCTAAAAAACCTGAACTATAGATCCAGCTATCACTGACTTCAAATGAGAAAATAAAAGTACCTTATAAAGTAAAAATAACTATATAATGGTAAGGAATTATTACTGCTCAATCCTAGGAATAACCACAGGCTTATTTCCCTACAGAATATTATCTTTCATCTCTAATAAAACACAAGAGATACAACACTATTTGTACATGCAAATTTGGAGCCTGCCAGAGATGACAAAGTAACAAAATGAACTGTTACAACTCTCAGTCCTCACACCCCATGGCCAGAACCTGATTACTTATCTACCAATTATGAAAAGCAAAAGTGTTTGTTTGGCCTGGCCACAGGGCACTGTAACTGTCCTGTGATCTCTCACCTCCCCTTTGAGTGGAGTGGTAAATTGCTGGGAGGGGGAGATCTCTTTAAAACCAGAGGCTGAGCTGATCCCCCTGGGAATGGCAAAACCCCATGGAAATTCAATGAAATGGCAAACAGAGAGCAAGCTTGTAGGAAGATTAAGAGGAAGGGGGGAAATAGTTCACATTATATTCCTGGCTAACCTGACTAAAGCAAGCTAGGGAAAAACACCTAGTTAGGGAAAATAAAAAACCTTCAATGGGTTTATAAGAGCAACAGGACGTCCCATTGTCTTCATCCTAATATTTAGCCGGGTTTTATTGAGACAAAGGTGTGAAATTTTTAAATTGAGATTTCACGTGTACAATTCAAATAATGGCCCAGATGAGCTACATAACTGATTTTTAAAAAAGCAGCAGCAGCCATCAGATACAATTATGACCTATTTATATCATGCAGTTCCTAAACCTGGTATTGGAGGCAAGTGTGAATTACATAGGAGGGAAGCTGACCCAATCGATTCAGGGCTAACTAACCACATCACAGTGAACAGCCAAACCCAGACCTATAGCCCTGTAAAAGATGCCCAGGAACATAACTCTCAGAGCAATAAAGAAAAACCAGAGATCTAGAAATCTTCAGGAACCCACCTGCCCTGGAGAGAGAGTTCAAGAAACAGTGACCTCTGAAGGAAATCCGCAGTAGTTAAAGGGACCAGCAAGCAATGTTTTATAGAACTCTCTGAATGGTCTGGTAGCCTCCCAATTCCTTCAGTACCAAAGTTAAGAGAACCCAGAAAATGGGTTTTCCTATCCAGAGAAAAGTAAAAAACCTCTAACTTGAAACTACAGAGCTGTGTATAGTAGGAGGAAAGAATGGCCACCCACAACAAAGTAAATTTTTTTTCCTCTTTTGCCTTTCAGACCTCCCCTTAAGTCTAAATGGTTCCTAAGGCTGTCAGCAACTCTCGTACTTCTTTGAACACCCAATAGAATGTAGCTGTGGACAGTGGTTACAATCCACTGTTGCTATAGAGACTTTTGCTCTACAAATCAAATCATATCTAAGCCTGGGGTAACCAAGCAACTATGTTAAAAAAAAAAAAACAGAACAGAACAGAATGCAATGGCAAACTATTTTATCTCCCCAAGAAATAAAACAGAACTGGTTGTCCTGTGCAGTGCCAAGCTTCTGTACTTTTCAAAAACCTGACAGTCAACAGGAGGCTGGAGCCTCAGCCTCAATCCAATGCCCATTCCCAGCCCAAGAAATGAGTAAGTTATTCATAGAACCAGAGCCAGTCTCTTCTACTACATTCCCAACTTTAAGAACCTCACTTTCCTTCAACCCGAGATAGAAAGGCATTAGTGAAGGACCTGATGCTCAAATCTTTCCCACAATCCCTTACATCAAAGTATATCAGAAGCTCTTTTACGTAACAGCATAACTACAAATAACAGCTGACCATCACTCTCTAGGGAAGTCAGTGTATTTCTGCTAATCAGTTGTATACAAAAAGGAAAAAATGCACAAAATTTTGTCCTCAAGAAGAGCCAGCCAGGCATTCTAAAAACCACATGTAGTTATACACTTCACCCCGCCTCCCACTGTCCCTTGGTGTTGGTCCTGAGCAACTTCAGGCAAATTTTCAGCTTTCTCAACCCCCTCAAAGTAAGCTTCTTGACCAAGGAGTTTCAGAGACTGAACCTCAGATGCTAGCTTCTAGATTTTCAATCTACTAGCCAGCCTAAGAGCTACAAAAGAAACATGGTTAAGTCAATTAAACACAGAACTCTGAGTCATGTACCCCCATCCATTTCCTGGCCAGGTGCATTATCCGAGGCCCTTTCCACTTTTACTCTAAACAAAAGCAAAAATCCATGCACCACACAGCCTGCCTCAGAGCACCCAGCAGGAATGTTCGAACAGTTGGGGACTTGCATAACCTGAGTTGAGGAAAATAGGATGTAGGTAGTATCAATGCAGAACAAGGAATTGCTCCTTGCAGTGGAGAATACAACCCTTTACACTTCCCCCAGCTGCAGAAGGGACAAAGAATGGCCCAAAATATGTGCCTTTCCAGAACAGCAAGTATCTTGGTGGAAACAAATCAACACCTGAACCCACATTTATTTCCCATCCTCAAAACTTCTCACATAGGATACGAGCAGGTATGAATCCAACACCAGGACCAGGGCATCAGATACTCCCAAGGTTGCATTCTTGAAAATGGCAGGGCAAAGTTAACCCAAGTGGAACAGAGAATAACCACATACACAAGTACTATCCCACCAAATCTTGCCAACATAAAAGAAAAACAATTTTGAAGACAACACAGATTATGAAAAAATCTCAATGGGATCCCAATAAAGAAGTCGGGCCTAAATTACGGTGGTATTATGTATTTCTCCAAGAAAAGGCAAACTAGGGATCTGCCCTGAGGATCAGACTACTCAAGCAAAGACAAGCTACTAAGTAAATCTGTTTAGCCAATGTTTAGCGAAGACCTCTCACACGCCCCTCCCCACATCCCCCTCAGCCGCAGAGTATGCTCCTTTGCAAAATCATCAAGCTTATGAAATGACACTGCCCTGGGCCACGGGCTTGGCAAGTGAAAGCTACGGAGAAGGCGACCTTCAGAAAACAAGGTCCTTCCAAATGCGAAAGGTCGTCGGGGTTCCAGTTTATAAAGGTAAAATAGAGCCTAAAGAAAATGATCCAAGTTTTAGAGTTGAAAAGCGCAGAGTGCCACGCCTAACCCACCTAAATACACTGAAAGGCCAAAATGGTTCGGAAGGGGTCCCTTCTGCACCCACGAGTAACTGTACCCGTGAGTGGACCCATACCACACAATACTAAAATATCCCAGCCCGAGAAACGTCCAAGGGCCCCGTTACCTTCCGCTCGGGAGCATTCATCGGGAGGGAACATGAGGGTGGCCTTGGGGCATCAGCCCCCACCTTTTCCCTCTTCCCTTGCTCTGACCGACGTCTGGAGAGTAAGTAGGGAAGTGGCGAAATCTTCCCCGCTCCACGATCCGGCTTGTGCCCGTCACTTCCCAATTTCCGCTCGGTGCCAGGCCCAGGAGATCAGAGGAAGGCGCGCCCCCGGCCTTTCCCGGTATACTCCCAAGTCTTTCAGGCGCGTCCCGGCCCCGTAGCTCGGTTCACATAGGTCACCGCACCCACCCAGAGCCGCTTCCTCCCATTTGGTAATGCTGCCTAAACCGCAGGGGAGGAGGGTGGCTCTACCCAACGCGCCCCCAACACCTTCGGCCTTGCTCCCGCGGGCTTACCCCCACCCCCCACCGCGCAGTGACCGACCCCCGGGAAAGGGGCGTAGCTAACAAGCAGAGTGCCCAGCGCGCGCCCGCGCCCCCGTCCCCGCGCCCCCCGCGCGCGCCTCCGCGTTACCTTTCACCACGTCACATTCGATGACGCGTCCGCGACGCTCGAAGAGGCTGCGCAATTCCTGGCTCGTGCACGCAGCCGACACGTTGCCCACGAAAATCTTCCAAGTGTTAAGAGGCCGTGGGCGCGACATCTCTACTACGAGCGCGCGCCCCGGTCGAAGCTCGTGGCCGTGCAGAGCCTCGATGGCGCGCAGCGCGCCCGCATTCTCGCGCATGTGCACGAAGGCGAACTGTTTCATGACGGCGCAGCTCATGACCGTGCCGTAGGGCGCGAAGAGGGCTGCCAGCTCCTCCGGCGTCGTATCCGCCCCATCGACGTTTCCTACGAATATCTTCATTTTGCCGCCGCAGCCGCCTTCCCGGAGAGCCGGGACCGCTCGTCCAACGACAGGCAACACGTCCGACCGGCCAGCAGTTCTCCCCAGGAATGGCTGGCGACTGAGAACCCCGCCGCGCAGGCGCTCTGACCTAGCCAATCGGGGCCCTCATCCCGCGCGTCCTGCAGCCAATCAGAAAAGCTTAGAGAAGATGCACTCAGGCGCAGCCAATCCTAGAGGGCCTGGAGCCCGCTCGTTAGCGAAGGGGGTGGGAAAGGAACGACGGCGCGCGACCAACCGCCACTGCCGGGGGGAGGGGGAGAAGGATTGGAGAAGAGGGTAGGCGCGGGGAGGGCTGGCGGCGGAGAGGCCTAGTCGGTGAGGCGGCCTATGGCTCGGGTGGGGCCGGGACCCATGGGCCCCAAGGAAAAACTTTGTTCATTCGGAAGTCCGAGCTCCTCCTATTCTGGCATCCACAGGAAGGCCGCGCCTGGCAGGAGGAACTAGGACAAACGCCTTCAGTGAGCAAACACTCGCCTCCCGGGACTGCCACCTCCGGGACGGTGCTGGGCGGTCTGAGGGGACCTGAGGCGTCTGCCTGGAGAAACCCTCATGCCAGTAATTCGTTGCCCGAGATTGCTGAGGTCCTTGCAGACGCTGGAGGCAGGGAAAAGTCAGAGAGGGTCTCTGCCTTTAATGGAATTCTCAATTGAGGAATAATAAGATGTATCTCTTCTGTATGTTTAAAATATTCCACAATAAAAAATTTTAAAGAGAAAATTAGGTCAAAAGAATGATCCTTGAGGTTGAGGGGCGAAAGTTGAGCCTGTAAAAAAAAACTTTATAAAGGGGGAAAATTTTTTCAAAACCCAACAGATGTATGTAAATAAGATCTTGTTTGGCAGAAGACACCGAAAATAAACACGTGACAAACTCAGAACTATTTGCCTACATGTTCATTCTACGAATTTTATTGAGCACCTACCATGTGGGCATCAGCAATGATATGAAAGTGAACAGTGTTAAAAATCCCCACCTTCTTGGAGCTGATACTGTGGTGGCCACAGGTAATTAAATAAAACATATAGCCTGTTAGATGGTGATAAAGGCTTGAAGTAAGAGCGGGAGCAAGCAAGCCACCTTCTTGGGGAATCATTCTAGCCAGGAAGTACTAATCAAAAAGCCCAGGAGCAGGAGCATGTCTGCCTGTTCAAAGAACAGCAAAGAGCCTATAAGGCTGGAGGCAGGAACAGAGTGAATAATAAAAGCATAGGGTTGGGAGGGAGGTGTAGCATCTTATTGGCTATTGAAATTACTCTAGCTTTCATTCTTACGCTGGAAGTCTGTGGAGAGCAGGGGACAGTGGGGCTCGTCTGATAGGACTTATCTTTCATAGTTTTATAAGTATCATTCTGGCTGCTATTGAAATGGGCAAAAACAGAAAAACAGTTGTTGCTTCGGAACAATTACCTCTACAGCAAAAATTAAGGAGAGAGCTGATGATAAGAATCAAGGTGACCACAGTAGAATTCTGGGGAAGTGGTCAGATTTGGATGTAGTTTGACAGTAGAACTATACACCATATGTGATTGGTTGTGAGTTTTGAGGGAAAGAAGACACCAAGCAACTAGAAGCATGAAATTGCCATTTACAGAGATGGGAAACATTGCAGTAGAAACAGATTTTCTGTGAAGGACCAGAAATCCAGTTTTGGACATAAGTTTGAGATGCCTCTAAGTCACCCAAGTGGGACACCAGTGATACACACACGCACACACATATGGAGACACCAATAGATATATGTCTGGAGTTCAGGGCAGAGGTCTGCGCTGATGATAAAAGTCTGGGAGTCTAAAGAGTTAATAGACTGCTTTTTATAAAGAACTCTTACAAATTAATACCAAAAAAAAATGAGATAATTGTGCCAAGTATGGGAACTGGCAATTTTATAGGAAAAGAAGTGCAAATGGACAGTGAACAAGAAACTTCATTGGTAGTCAGGGAAATGCAATTTCCTGACACAATGAGAACATTTTCACCCCTTTGGTTTGCAAAAAATTGAAATATTTATATCTGTTGCTGGTCAGGCTGTGAGGAGTGCACGCAGATATTGCTGATGATAGTGTGGACTCTACATCCTTACTATTCTGACAGTATCAAAACTTTAAATGAGGTGAGCTTTTAATATAATGAACATACTTTGGAAATCTAGCACACGGAAAACTCATCAATAAAGATATTGGTAGAAATGTATTTATTGTGGCGTTTGTAGCAGCAATCAGTGGAAGCAACCTGAATGTCCAGAAATAAAGGAATTAGGTTTTGCCTTATGATGGGATATTATGTTGCTCTTAAAGATAGTTCAGAATTTATTGATATGGAAGGATGATCATAATTCAAAAGGGAAAATATAATGTAATTGTATAATGTTACATTTTTCTAAGCTATAGGGGGAGAAACGCTCCATATAAGTGCATATATTTTTTTCAGCATAGAGAAATAACACTGGTTACCTCAAGGAGATGAAATGGGGGTTAATTTTTTTTATACTTTTCTATAGCAATAGACTTTTAACAATGAGCATCTAATTCTCTCATAATTAAAAAGAAAGTACATTTTAAGGTGGAAAACGGGCACCACTTTGATTCCACTCTGATAACTTCACAAATCCAAACTGCTGGCAGAATTCCCAGAGCAGGTGTCATCAGCAAGTCCCTAGTCACCCGGCAAGTATAGTCATTTTAAAGGTATAATGGGGAGAGTTCCATGTTTGTTCCAGTAATGCTGGTAGGGTTTGAATCAGAACCCTGGGCAACAGCAATATAATGTGAAACCTGTATGTACTTTTTTCTGGTATCTACTTTGAAAAACAAAAAGAAACAAGTAAAATTAACTTTAACAATATGTTCTATCCAACCCAAAATATCTAAAAAACTATCATTTCATCATATAATCAACATAAAAATTATTAAGATGTTTTATGTACTTTTCCTTATACTAAGTCTTTGAAATTTCATTATGCATTGCAGACTTACAGCACACCTCAGTTTGGACTAGCCCATTTCAAGTGTTCAGCAGCCACATGTGGTCAATGGCTGCCATGTTGGCTAGTGTACTTTTAGCCTTCCTCTTGAAGTGGCCTTTACATCCCGAAGAGACAGATTTTGGAAAAGCAGAACTTCAACATCAGGGATGAATCTGATTTTTAAAAACAGTCCCATATTCTTCAAAGCCAAGTGTGGGAAATGAGGGTGAGCAGGAAGATCAAGCTCAGAAATATCCGTCAACAAATAATGTCAAAGCTGCAAAGAATTCTTTAAGATGAACCAGGCCAAGTTAGGCCGATCACTTTATAGATGAGAGATCCACTCAGAGCTGGAGAAGAGAAAGGAGTTGCCCACCATCAAGGTGGTGGTAGAACTGGGCTACTTTAGTGCTCTTTCCATCACCCCGGGCAAGGAGTTACTAGATGATTAGATCCATGTTCAAATCGTGGCTTGCCAGTTGTGTGAACTGGAGCATGTTTCTTCACAGCTGTAAGCATCACCTCCTTCACTTATAAGACCATTGGCCTTACTATCAGGATTTCTGGGTTTGGTTTTCTTTTTAAATAAGTCTTTGTGCCTCTGGGAAAATCACAGAACATAATATTTACCATTCTAAGCATTTTTAAGGATAGAGTTCTGTGGCATAAAGTACACTCACATTGCTGTACAACCAACACCACACTATGTGTCCAGAACACTTTCATCTTCCCTATCTAAAACTCTGCACCCATTAAACACTGATTTCCCATTGCCCTCTCTCCTCAGTCCCTGGAAACCATCAATCATCTTCCTGTCTTTGTGAATTTGACTAGTCTAGGTTCCTGATAAAAATGGACTTGTACAAGTAGTTGTCTTTTGTAACTGGTTTACTCATTTAGCATAATGTCTTCAAGGTTCATCCATGCTATAGAATGCATCAGAATTTCCTTCCTCTTTAAGGGTTAGAAATATTCCATTGAATGTATACACTACGTTTTGTTTACCCATTCATCAATAGACATTTGGGTTTCTTCCACCTTTTGACTATTGTAAATAATGCTGCTCTGAATGAGGGAGCACCCTATCTATTTGAGTCCCTGTTTTCACTTCCTCTGAGTATATACTTAGAAGTGAAATTGCTTGATTTTGTTTTTAATTAAAGCATAATTCATAATACAATGACAATCACTTTTTTTGTGTACAGTTCTTTGAGTTTCAACAAATGTATACAGTCACATAACCACCACCACAATCAAAATATAGACAGTTCCATCACCCTGAAAAGTTTTCTTATGCTGTTCCCTTAAGTCAGCCTTCCCCCACCCTCCAGGCCCTGGCAAATCTGGATCTGTTTTCTTACTATGCCTGTAATTTTGTCTTTTCCAAAATGTCATGTAAATGGAGTCATTCAGTATATGGCTGTTTGAATCTAGCTTCTTTCACTTCGCCTAATTCATCTGACAGTCATCAGTGTCCTTGCCTGTATCAGTGGTTAGCTCCTTTCCAACAGTGATTTACATGTATGGATGTA